AGGCCAGAACCAATGAAAAGCCACCTACATGCAGACAAGCCACAGATGCCAACCGCTAGTATAACTGCACCCTTCTCCTTAAGAAAAGACCGGCCCCATCACATACACAAAATCCGTGCTCCTCACGGGCGTGCTGCAGCTGTTCCACCTACCGAGGGAATAAGGGGTCAGTTACTGTCTCCACAGCAGCCATCCCACAGCAACACGCTCAGTCCAGAGTACGTGACGGTGAGTCGTACCCTAGACATCCTCTGCTTGTAATATTTCATTGTATTAAAAACTAAACCTTAACCAGCTCAAAAAAAGCAGGTTAAATGTGACCCTAACAAATAAACTCTGAATTCAGTGCCAAATAAGCATTCTGTGAGTTTATTCAGGGAGCTACCATAGAGGTTATGAAGCACGCAAGTCACATTTGTCAGTCTTCCTTTGCCTGATAAAACCAAGGCAGGTGGTGCCTTAGAAATTCGTCTCATTTAGAGCAAATCGAGCAGAAGCTTGGCACATGTGCAGACGTGAAACTAGTAGCACTGAATGACATCACAAAAGGTTAAAGTGGATACAGACAACTGACACTTTGAAACAAATGGGAAAGTAGCTAGCCTACAAATTGTTTAAATAAAAGTGGATACACTGACACCTGCTCTCAGTCTAATGGTTTTCCAAATGTAGCTGTTCCTCTCGTAATCTCCAATTAGATACACGCACAAAAGCTAAATATACAACACAGGGTTTCATATTATTTACGTCTTGACAGGCCCTAATGAAGACAACACTGAAATCATTTAGCTTAAGAGCAAAACCACCAACTCGGGAACAAGATACTAGTACCAGAGACGGCAGACTCAGCTCTGGCACAAACGCAGCCTGTGATGCCGGCTGTCCTCGGTCTTCAGTCTCAGCAGGGCAAGACCCGAGGAACCCCAAAGGGCAGTCTGTAACGCTGGAGGAACAGCAGTACAGATGCCGCTCCCTATAACCAGCGATGGGAGGTCTGTGAGTGTGAGTTATTGCAGACAGTGGCTCTAGGCTCCACTCTGCACAGATCACCGAGACACAGACGGGAGGCTGCTAACGCCCCACGTCAAGTGCCCGAGGGCACGTGTAGGGACGCTTCCTAA